ACCAGGACAAGCCCGTCCGATGGATTGGACTGGAAAACTATCCCATTTGCTGTCTTATCCCAATGTTGTCACTAGGATGTCTCGTTTTTTTTAAAAATATTTTTGTTTTGTAGTTGGACCTATTGTATGTAATGGATTTTGATTGTTTTTCTCCTTCTATTTTTAGTTTTGTGGACTTAACCCTTTTGAAAGTATCTTTTTTTTTCTTTTTTATTTCTTTGGACTTAGCTCTCTTAAAGCAAAGTCAAAATAAATAATAATCAGTAATATAATGACTCCAAAATTTAGTTTCACCATTCCAAAAATCATAAGCAACTAAAAAAACCACTCTAAATAAAGAATAACTATTCCACTACATATGTCTTGAAAGCTAGACATATAAATATTTTGTATTACACATGTCTTAAAAATTTTGTATTTTTAACATTTAATAATTGTAATATGTTAAAAGATAAAAAATATCACTACTAGGATAGGACAACCCCGTCCTGTGACCCATCCCATCCCGGTCTCATTTTTTGCACTGTCTTGAAAAAATTCCGGGGATGGCTGAGACTGGGGCGGGCCTATTTGAACACCTGGTCTCTACTTTATATATAGAAGTCCGCCTAATTGATGGAAAATATTTTGATGGAAAAATATACTACTATTTAATATTACTTGTAATCTTTAATATAAGAGCAAGTTTGACTTTTAATTTGATTCTAAATATAAAACTTCAATCCACTTTGTCTCTTATATTTATCTATTTTTTTCAAGATAATCCTTACAGTATTGCATATGTTAAAAGTTTCATCAAATAGTAGTTTTAATTAATACATATGATTAGCAAGAATATTTTAGGAAAGACAACACTTATTTATTTAAATAATTAACTTAACTAATTTTTTCAACTGGCTTTTATATTAAGAATTGGAGGTAGTAATTTGTTTCCAACGTATATGGTAGTATCATAAGAATATCATAGAAAATCTGAGAGCAGTTAGCAGTATAATGCACTGTTCATAAACTTGTGTGAAGATGACGATGATTAAATTTAATGAGAACTAGAAAAAATCTCAAAAAAATACTTCTTAAATTTCAAAATTTTAAATTAGGCTTATTTATAACACTTTGATACTAATTGATTATTATTTGTAAATCAAATCATAACATCTTTTTGTAGTAATTTTTTATTTGGGATTTTGAAATTGAGGAGGTATTTCTGCCTTGAAATTTCCCTAAGAACTAGGAAATCTTAATAGAAGGATTCTAATGATTTATATACGATATAATTTTTTTGGGAAAAAATACCAAAAAAAGAAGTTAAAAATTTATAAATATCAAATAAGAAATATTAATAAAAATTTGTTATCGTTTGTAAATATAATATTATCAATATCAAATATTGTTACCAAACTTTATTTGGGATTTAGTAATTTTTAACCCTTTTTTTAATTGAGATTACAGGATATATACCGAAGTTTTAAAATAGGCTTTTTGGTTCTATGCATTTAGCTGTGAAGTGCAAAAGTAGTAGAGCTGCTTAATTAATCAAAATCAAAATCATCTCAAAATTGATAAGCACCAAGTCAGCCTCATCGGTGATTGCTTGTATTATGAAAACCTGGAAGCCATTAATAAATTAGACGTTGCTCGATTAAATCAATCACATCATTCAACAATATATTGCAATATTGCTTTTGTCATATTTCTTCCAGAATAATATGACGACCCTTCCTCCTTCTTAATCATTACGTCTTAGTCAAAGCAAAAAAGGCAAGCACGTGCTGCTGATTATTCTTCTACTAATTACTGTTAATTTGTACAGTTTATCAATGTATATGCACTGTGAAATCAAATCAAAAAATGCCTCTATGGCCCCATCTTCCATCCAAACAAAGTGGAAGGAAAATTCTTTGATCACCACTAGAGTTGTACGTAGTTTTATTTACTTCGAGTTTGTGTACTCTATATCTCTGTATCTGTTGCTAAGAATACCTTCTCAAAGAACAACATTAAATAAATTGATCATTTGCAAAATGCTAACATTATTATACTTTAAAAAGATTAATGAAAGTATATTTAATAACCTGGAAAGAAGAGAGAGAAGCTGTGTATGTAGGGGACGAACGATGGAGGCCCTATACGAGGAGGAATAAAATTGAAAGTAGCTAGGGCCAGAGACAAAGGAGATTAGTTATTTTATTAGGGTTTGTTCTGTGAATTATTGTTTTCTTGTGATGATTATATGGGCACACATGTGAACAGGTAGGTACGTGATCATGATGAATTACCTTTCCCTGGGGCACAATTCTTGGATTCATGCTATCAAAAATTACAAATATGTAATGCCACTAATAATCCAGGCCAATAATTAATAGATTGTTGGTCAAACAGATTGCAAAGTATGAAGAGTTTGGACTGTTGCATAAATTTCTTATTCTGGTAAGCCGAGGTGTATATATATAATTTTCATGTTAATATTGTTATGAGTCGTATTAAAGAATCCATCGGACTAAGTTAAAAAAAATAACATTTCGGGGTTTTTAATTATGCTTAACATGTAGTGTTATTTTGCACATTTTAGTCATAACACAAACCGAGATCTGCACAAACATATGATAAGGGTTTTGATTCATTACGTTGTTACTCTCGAAACTATGTATACTATGAAATTAAAGCTAACTCAATTTATTGATTTAACATGTTCCTATATGTTTTCACTACTTATTTATTTGACTTCTTTCTTATTAAGTGATGTAGTCTCCCTTAATTTTCAATTTTTCATTATCATGCATGTGTGTGTGTGTGTGTATGCACAAATAAGTAAATATATATACACATAGGTTCAATCATGTAATTAGCTACTTCATCATATTTATAGACTTCATTGTCACAAACAATGACAATGATACAGAACATTTTAGATTTAATTATGTGATAGCTTGAGGCCCCCGAAAATCTCCATGTCCTTCTTTGTATCTTTCACCTCTTAATTTGTGATGCTTTCAATTTGTGATATTTTTTTTAGTTTTAATTAGATCATAACATTGCATATTCTAGATAAATTCTTAACGTCGCTTATTAATTTATTAGATGATGATGGACTAATGACTTGCGTACATTATTAGAAAGCTAAATAATTAAGGATGATATAAGAATTGATGAGTGACTCGATGCTTGTCTCTTGAACCCTTTTTTTTCCGGAGCGCCTAAAATTTATTCTCATGGCCTTGGTCACAAATATGCAAGTCGAATATATATAAAACACATATAATAAAAGCATGCACGTATAGATGGGATCCCCTCAATGTCTCATTTAAAGCAATAATATATGACTTGGGTCAAAAAAGAAGCAGCAAATATATGACAGAATCTCAGATCATATGTGTCTGATTAATCATGCGGGAAATAGATGAGGTGGATAGTGAATTGATGACAGGATGAATTATGATATACTCTAAGTGAAACTAAAACATTCACAAGACTGCTTCTAATCACTGTGAAAGCCTATCATAAATGTGAAACCACAATTTAAAACTATGAATATTATAACTTAAAAAGCTTTAGCATGAAGGCACAGAAGATTAGGAAAAAGCCATCGAGTTTATAACAACCACCGCCATGCAATCGGACCAATGAACAAGCAGAGAGGAGGAGGAGGAGAAAGAAGCACGCGCGTGCAACAGAGATGATGGTGGTGAAAAAGAAAGATGGTGGTAAGCACGGGATGAATATATACTTGAAGATGATGATGATTGCCTTGCTTTGCTTCCAAAATAATGATCTAGCTTGGTCTCAACTAATCATTTTTTAATATATTTATTAGCTTTGATAACCCATGTATATGTATTGCACTATATTCTTGGAGATTACTGATTCTAAAACTAAAATAAATTGACAAGTGTTTGTGCATGATGAAGAATGAGTAAATTAATCAAATGGGATGAACAGGATTTTAATGTTTAATTATAAAAAATAAAATAAAGGAGAACAAATTGGCAGATAAAATAATAAGGGGATACATCGAAAACAGAGAAAGCAGGCATCAAATGTTGTTTAGCTGTCAATCCCTCCAAGTACTCTCTCACGGGACACCATTCCATATCTTCACGACACCTCTCTCTCTCTCTCTGTTGATCCACTTTTACTCAAATATCCTTTTAGATTATATATATTTCCCTCAAACCCCTTGCTGTTGTTATTATTACTATCATGATAGATGCAGATTGCCATGCCATTCCCATAAAACATCAAATTCCTCTGCGCGTGTGTTGGGATGGTTGGGGCAAAGTCTTTCATTATTATTCCCAAAGTTATTCTTATTTCATGTTCCTCCTCACCAATTATTTCTTTAGAAATGAAGAAAATCACGTGAACCCATTTATATTTCTTTGAATCTTGAACAATATCATATAGAATATTATTAGTTAATAAACCTTTTGCCATGAGCGCCTAATAAGTTAGGTGGATTATTAATTTTAGCATCTACATATCTTACACATTCATGATTAGTTACCTGTTGTATCATGGATGTGACATGTTACAAGAATTATTTATTCATTCTTTGTTACATGTATTATAAGCCTACGGGACTATGATCATCTACACCCTAAACAATTTTTTTTATTCAATGTAACATGCATATTGGCCACCTTAAATATACATCTAAATTAAAAACATTTTTAATAAGTTATATTACATATTATATTACTTATAAGGACTTGTTTCTTTTTAAATTTTATGCAGATACAATCCCTCAAGTAGTTGAGTTGAAATATACGTGATGTTTCTATCTATTATTCCATTTTTAGTTTTGGGGTGGGGGTTGGGATGTGACGATGAGTCAATGAAAGGAAATGAGATGATTAATTAGTGCCATGTGTCATATGTACCAGGTAAGACTCCCAAGGATGGAATAAAATCCCAGACATTTATGCACTCTCGTGAAAGCCGGATGACTAGCTCACTGGTCTCTGGACTCTGGACTAAAAACTAGGCACACTAGCTTCCAGTAAATTATTAGTGTAAGTTTATTTATTTCGTTCCTACTAATTTCGTTCCAATTCAACTTTTTAATGCCTCGTTCAATTTTCATTCATTTATTTTATTATCATTGTTATTGTTATCTGGTGGCTTTTATTATTCAAATGAAATTGAATAATAAAAATATAGAAGACGCTTATTATTTCCCTTATAACCTGTGAGAATTCGTTTTGTTCAAGTTGTTGTTACTGTTATTTTGTTAAGTATTTTGGATCAAGATGATGTTTTAAAATTAAAACTCTTGACTTGATGTCCAATAATTTCAAAGCACGTTAAAAATATTCCATACATTTGTGGGTGAGAGAGAGGGAGAGGGAGGGAGGGAGGAAAGGAAATTTTGATTCGCAGAGAAAAATGAAAGCTAAGGGTTGAGAAGTGGGGATAGGGGTCAAAGAGGTAATTGTGAAGGGGAAGAGCATAATTCGATGTGGGGGAGATGAAACAGTAGAGGTGATCAGGAAACAAACAAGAGAATCAAATATTTCATTGAAGGCCTCATCACTCATAGTTTCTATATATAAAAAAAGAATAAAGGCCCCAATTCTCATGGAATTAGAAGGAGGAGGAAGGAAGCTAGCAGCAATAATAACCAAAGGCGGAAGAAGAAGAAGAAGAAGAATTGAAGCTAGCAGCATAGCGTACATGTCTTCAACACGAGAAAGAAAGAAAAAACATGCTCAAAACAAAGCCTCATCAAATCACACACAGGATCTGAATCATCAACAGGAGGAGGCGGAATCCTCCTCTTCTTTCCCCGATGACTTGCCCACGGTACTATATCTACATGCTTAGCTTGCTGTTATTGTGTCTGTGTTCTGTGCCTTCATTGATCCATCATGAATATTATACCGTTGCGTTTGCAGGTGAGGGTGGAAACCCTAGACAAGGGATTCCGAGTTAACGTGTTCTCCGAAAAGAATTGCCCCGCCATGCTCGTCTCCGTTCTCGAGGCCTTCGAACAGCTCGGCCTTGATGTGCTTGATGCTAGGGCTTCTTGTGAAGACACTTTCCAGTTCGAAGCTGTGGTAGGATCTCAAGTATGGCACCAATTCATTCATCTGCATATATATATCTGATCTATTACCCTTCTCTGCTTATTCCTCAATCTCTATTCACTTATATATATCCTTTTTCCTCAACTCTTGGATCAATAAATCTGTATGTTTTGTTTGTTAGTTTCTGTTTATGAGGTTTATGGGACGAAACTTAATTGGTGATATTGCAGAGTGAAGAGAAGGAGATAGACGCCCAAACGGTGAAGCAAACGGTGCTGCAAGCAATCAACAGTGCCATGGACTGATGTACCTGATAGGAGCAAGAGATGAAGTACCTCCTTTTTTTTTTTTTTTTGTCTTCTTCTATTTTTTTTTTCAAGTGTAAAATTCACATATATCCAAATTCCAAAGTGAAAGGCCAAACCTAAATTACCTCTTCGAAGTTGGGTGTCAGAGAATGGGTGGACAGGAATCGTGCAAGTTGGTTCGTACGCTTTTCGGCGTTCGAAGGGCATGAAATATTAAAAGGAGAGAAGCTTTAAAAAAATTAAAATAAAATATATGAGCTAGGATTCCTCGACGTATAGGTAATATCTGAGTTGAATACTTGATGGAATTTAATTCAAATTAATGAAAATTTAAATAATCAAGTTCCCAAAGGTGGTTACATTGGTAAGGGAAAGAGAGTCGTGGTTCCAATTGGGTTAAGTTGATTGCTTGAATCTCGTAAATGGGGGGGGGGGGGAACTATCATATGAGGAAAGCCACCTTAAATGAGCCAATCAAGACTCAAATTTGAACAGCATCGACACCAAGTAATGCAACACTGACTTACCGAAAAGACTGACTGCTTTCCGATTTTTCGTTCTGCCTTTACTAGCAAAGGGGCTTTAGGCTTACCATAAGCTTGACTTAAAAGTAAAAGAAGGTCCGGAAAAAGAACATGCAAGGTCTGATACCAAGTCTTTTCGCTACTCAATATAAGAATTTGTTTTATTTTTATTTTTATTCTAAATATAATAACTTAATCTATTTTATCTCTTATATTTATTTTTTTAAAGATAGTTTTTATACTAATAGTAGTTCTAGTTAATATATTTGATTAGCAAGGATATTTATGAAAGATAATACATATTTATTATAAATAACTAATTTAAACTAATTTTTTTAATATATTCAAATTAGTCAACTAACTCTTACATACTAAGGATTAAAGACAGGAGGTAGTGTGATCAGAGTATATGCAGCATAGTCAGCTATAAAAACTCTGTCCAGTGTCCACTTCTTTAAAGTACCGATTACTATTTTTTCCCTAAAGTTTTGCCACTTGCTCATTAGCACCTTAAATAAGTTAAATAATTAAGTTAACTAGATATATAGTTGAATGAACTTAAATTGCCTGAAGCAGAATCGTACTTTGGATGAAGTGGAAAAGATGGGTCCCGCTATTCTTTGCCTGTCAAGAAAAAAACATTTTGTGATATTTAAAAAAGAATATTGACATTTAAAAATCAATTTTCAACTGAACTCTCTCATCATGATTTGTTTTCAACTAAGGTTCTGTTATTCTTAACTGAGATCCGACCATTTACGAGTGAGTCAATGTTCTTAATTGTTATTACTACATTCGATCTTTCATATAAGAATTTGTTTAGCTTTTAATTTGATTTTAGATATAAGACCTTAATCTTTTTTTGTCTCTGATATTTATTTATTTATTTTTAAAGTAGTCATTGTAATAGTTGTATATGTTAAAGATTTTATCAAATGGTAGTTTTATTCCTAGCTAATGTATATGATTAGTAAGCAAGAGTATTTTAAAAAAGCCACTATCTATTTGTTACAAATAATTAACTTAACTGATTTCTTAATCACTAGCTTTTATACCAAAGACCATGGGTATTATCACTTATTACTCTTCTTGTAATGTCCCAATTAAGCATCTTTTCCTCTCGTATATCTCTCCTTTTGGGCATGACCTCATCATCTGGTTTGAACTTGTGAACAGTTGACAAGTATGAAAGCGGCAAAATGCCTTTGCCTAAAATTTTGAAATCCAATATACTTAAATAATATTTTGAAGAATGTTTGTGTTTCATTCAAAGCAATGAAAATACAAGATTAACGTAACATGATGAGTATTAAAGTGGGACAAGAAAACGATCTCCAGAGGCCAACATGTTTGAAAACGCGCCGTGTTGTTTGAAGTGGTTTTTGTGTTTTTCTTTTTTCGAAAATATTCAACCCATCGCATAAATAGTTATAAAGCATCCCATATTACTTCATATATATATTTATATATATATATATATATATATAGGATTGACATCACTCACTGTTTTACTCTCCATCTAATTATTTTATTCAAGGTATCGCGCATATCTGTGTGTGTGTGTGTGAGAGAGAGAGAGAGAGAGAGAGAGAGAGAGAGAGAGAGAGAGAGAGAGAGAGAGAGACTCAAGGATGAAGGATATCTTATACTTCATCGTTTCCACTTACATGTTTTAAGTACCACCCCTAAAAGTTGAGCATAAATTTTGAAGTCCTACATAATTTTATTTTATTCTAAATGGGTGAATTAGACAAAGGCCGCAAAATAAATTCAAATTCCGAAGTGATGATATCGGAACCCAGCAGCCTAATTCTTAATCCACGACCCACTAAATAGGATAATGGGCTTTTTGTTTACAGCAAGTCTGGGCTTCCTTGAGGTCATGGAATGGATTTGTGTTCCATTATTTCTAGTCTCAGAACATCGGGCCTCAACGATAGTCATCTTGGTTTACCTCTTGGGCTGAGTCAATTCAGTTAGACTTTGGGTTCAAAATATAATATATACTATAGATTCTTCAGCCAGGAATTATATGATTGAGCCTTTGAAAAAATATTATATTTTATGTCATTTTTTATTAGAAGACTAATATAATAGAATGTAATTAAACATTTTTACCCGATTCTAACTTTTGCTGAAAAACACACCCAGATATTACACAGAGCAAAACTAACCAAAGTATCATCAAATTATTCATAAAGTGGTGACTACATGCAACGAAAGAGAGCAGACTTATAAATAAAAGACACACGACTTAACGGATTATAACTGGTAATTAAGATACATTGACAGCACCAAGTGGAGTCTCCTTCTGATCTCCTCAATTTATTTATTCTTAATTCACTGCTTCCCCCTAGTATTATAGCCGCTTCAGCAACCGTGCTTCCCCCTCCTCTGTTTTTAGAACCTAATGCTGCAAACCAATCAATAATAAGGCGTTAATTAATTATATTTGATTAACTTTTTAACTGACGAACCTTTTCAATTCGCTATATAATTTGCTTCCCATTTTTCTTAACTTTTTAACTGACGAACCTTTTCAATTCGCTATATAATTTGCTTCCCATTTTTAAATGGGGATGCAGAAGGCGTCTAATTTGGTATGTATGAATATCATATCATTGAAGTTAGAAGGGAACTGAAAGGGAAACCTGGCGCAGTTGGTGGACATGCTGATCTTGTAGGGGATGAAAACTCTGCAGAGAGAAGGCATAGCTTGAGCGAACTGAGGATTGACTCCCGGGAACCTACCGGCAGCTACTTTGAGGCAGTTACAGACCGCACGGCGGTCCGGGGTGGTTCGAGCAGAGTTGACGGTGGTCCTCATTCCGTCGCAGCACGCCTGCGGAGGACGGCCGCCATTCTTGAGGTAACTGAGGCATGGTGCCAGGTTGCCTTGCACTTGGCCACACGTAATGGCCTCAGCCATGGGTGGAGCCACCACCAGCACCACCATGGCCATGCACGCTGCAACCATGAAGAGCCTCCCCATCATTTTCAAAAGAAACCACCAAAGCTGCAACCCAATATTGCTTTCTTTTGGTTTGTTGGTAAATTGGCGCAGGTATGCTTTGGTTTGTGAGTGGCAAGTGATGCGAATCAAAGTGTTTATATAGAAGTGAGGAACGCATCCCATCAGCTAGCTAGTAAGTCAGTAGCTACGAGTTATGGAGACTGAAGAACCTTGAGTTGGTGGTAGTTGCGTGCAATTTAATGCTCTCTCTCATGTCTATCTTCAAAATATATTTAATCTTATTATTCCAATTCGAAATACATACTGAAGTTCTTTGTGATAAGCGCGTTGTAAAACTCGTATCAGCATCAATTAGATGTGCTAATATTATTCCATAAATATGAAACTGATGAATGATGATGTAGCAGTGGCAGAACGGCTCACTGTATACTTGTGAATAAAATTGGAGTGGCAGTGCGTGAGTGTGTGTGAGCAAAACAGCACCGATCAGGATAATGTGGCGTCAACTACGTACGTGCTCTAGATGTTCCGGACACACATTACAAGAAGTTTTAGGATTTTGAGATAAAACACATGGGAAGCAACAACTTTAATAATTTCAAGTGAAGTTTTAGGACATTGAATGTCAACAGCGTGTTTACAGTCGAAGAAAAAGGAATGTCTACCGCAAATTTTGGTATATATGTACTTTTTACGTCTTCTTACTCTAAGGTCGTGATTTGTAGGTCTGTCTTTAAACTAAAAATTCATATATAAAGTAGTATATATTGTACATTATGAAATCATATAGAGAAGATGTATCACAATTCGCTGTAGGCATTCAAAATCCCATGTTGTCCGTCATGAGGCCTTTGTGTAAAGCGAGGGCCACAATCATGTCCATGGCACAAAAGTTGGATTGATCCATCAACTGTTTGTAGATCGGATGTATTGTTCGGTCATTATTCTCACGAATTGTACCATTACGTAAATTAATGAGAATTTAAATTAGATTTAACTGAATAAAAGATCATATTTGAATTCATGATCTTGTTCAAATTTAGGAGTTTAATTAAAATATCACTTTCCGGTCCTAAATATAAGAACTAGTTGACTAATTTGAATAGATTAAAGAAATAAGTTAAGTTAATTATTTATAATAAACAGGTATTGTCTTTCCTAAAATATCCTTACTAATTAAATTTGTTGGTTAGAACTATTATTATTAGAAGGGCTATCTTTAAAAAAAAAGAATAAATATGAGAGACAAAGTGGATTAAAATCTTATATTTAAGACCGAAATAAAAATCAAACGAGATCTTATATTAAGGACCAGAGGTAGTATTATAATAAGCATTTGGGAGAGATATATAGTTCTAATACTTATATATCATTAGAAAGACGAATAAAATATATGATGTCACTTTGCTATCATAAATATCTCCCTCATCACCCATCAACTCTAGAAATAGGAGTGCTTTCTTTTTTTTTTTTTACCAGAAAGTCAAAATATAAATCGAGAAACACATTCTTACGTGCATTATATGTGTTATGCCCAAACAGAAGGCTTTAGCAGTCGTATGTCTTTCCACTTCTATTTATTTTCTGATAGTTTCTGTTTTCTGGCTTATATACAATGAGTTATAAACACTTGGTCTTGAATTTAGAATCGGAAGAAGATCACAGATTTGAATCTAAAACGGATGACGATAAACCCGGTAACATGATCTCGCTTCAATCTAATACTGTGGTTACGTGAATTCTAGAATATTTGACGTTCAATTACATATGAAATGTTCACAATTGACATGATCTCCCTTTAACTTGAAATTGCATGAAAATCCCCCCTTGTTTTCCCTAATGATTTGTGTTTCGATAAAATGGAGAATTTATTCAGGAATCAGAGTAATTAAACTGATGATGCAAGAATTCTAAGCAATGCGGAGATCCTATTTCGCTGGCACCGTCTATAAGTTTGGAGGCCTTTTCATATGTATTAGTTGGAAAAAATTGTATACGCAATTTCGTATAATTTAAGGAAAGTAGGATCTATCCCAGTTTAGTGCTGACTCCATGCAATGCACTTAACGAAAAGAGTTGGGCATGTTCAAAGTTGGAGGCCAAGAATGGATCCAAGAAGCAATACGGCAAAGACATGGCTTCCCATTAATTTTGTGTCAGAAACCAAACTCTTTCTGAGATTTCCCATTCCTTCACGCATGGCTTCGCACGTACATCTCCTGCATTTTCATGTGTTGCCCATCACATCCAGAAAAATATTGCCAAAAAACCAGATGAGTATTGTTTAAATTAAACAATGGTTGGCCTAGTGATGACCTTTCACCGCACACATTGTTCTCGATTACCAATGGGTGGTCCTGGCATCATTTAATAAAAGAGCTGCGTGCTTGACTTTTCTTCCCCATTGCGCTTATATATCCTCCATATGATATATCAATAATACAGTAATGGCGAACATGATACGTACGTGGCGTGCATGCATGTCTTCTGCATCTTATTCTTCGGCCACGCGTTTGTGCCTATCATTCCCTTTCATATACTTTCATTATTTTTCCCATTATTTTGGCCCTTCATGTTATCATTTTGTCAGTCCTATTTTTGGAGAGCGATCATTTCGCCATCTTGACGCTATAAAAGCTCGCCCTCTCCAAGGCGGGTGAGCTGCGTTATTAATTCTAATATATATATATATATATGTGTGTGTGTCTTAATTCTAACTTAAAAATCCTAACTAGAGATTCAGGCCCTCGTTTCGTCTGTTTTTAATTTTCTAGCTATAGTCTCCAGACGAGTTCTTGTTGTGACTATGTATAACCATTAGTAATAACTTTGTAATTGCAATAATATATATAGAGAAAGGAGACTCAAAGTGCTGCTATATTCAAAATTAATTAGCAGCTCCCTTTCTCATGATCCATTGCAATGCTCTACTCTTTAGCGGTCAGCTCAGGTTACTGCAGAAGTTAAGCATCAATTAGTTTGGGTCATTTACCAGCATATATCACGATTCATTCATTTCTTTCTTTGTTTTTTTTCCCGGCTAGATAGAAATCATTCATATTCGAAAAATTAAAAGCAGTTGTGCAATTAATTTGTTGTGGTCCATCTATTTGTGACTAAATATATTATATTCTTCTTGACGAGTAGTATGACAAACAAAGATGCGCTGAATCTCAAAGGGTGGCATCATATCATGAACAACGAATAATGTTCAGACAAGAACGAGTGCTTATTGCTTAAGGTGTTTAAAATTATGGTAGTTTCCACCCAAACACAACACCCTCTAAGCACGGGAGGGAGTACAATGAATTCAAGTTGTTCACGCCAGAAAATCAAGGTAAACCCCGTTAAGGTCTGAAGGCAGATCACAAAAAATCCGGATCTGGATATACGGGAGTCTGTTTGTAGACATTAATTTTAGAATTAAATTTTATTAAAAGGAAAATAGTTTTTCAACCCATAAACCAATTACCAATTGCTATAAAGTACTTTGTCAAGATGAGTAAACTTAAATCTGGTTGAAAAAAAATCGATTTTTATGATTAATCTGCTGGTTACGCCATACTTCACTTCCTCCTCACAGATGGGAATGAGCCTTTTTAGGGGGCCACTATAGGCCCAATCATGATCCATTCCTTCCACTTTGGGCTTCTGTCCGTGGCAAGCCTACGATACCTAATCAATCAATTATTAATTATAACCTGTAACGAAAAAATATATTAATTATATCCATCAAGCCTCATGGTCAAAGAAATCTATATCTATAATCAATAAACACAATTTTAATTACTGCAAAATGTACTTCCTGCCTCACACGTCTTTCAATTTTAGACATGTTCTAAGGGCCCGTCAACTAAGATGTCTGTGAAAATACATCAAATCAAATAATAATAATGCCGAATAGGACATCGAACAATTTTTAAAACAAAAAATTATTTAAATGTTATTCATCTACATATATAAAATTCTTTGCATGATGGGGTGATTGACGAGTTGATAATTCGCTTTAAGCAACGAGGTAGGCCACATTACTTTGCAATAGCAAAGTGTATTTGATTATTTTACCTGAAAGAAAAGGAATTAGATTGTTTAAATTATGAGTGACAATAATATATAAGTCAAATGGTGTAGAAGAGTACAGCTACCCGAATACTGGCCTAGTGGTAACTGGCTAGGCCACAAGTGAGGCGAGTGCTCTTTGAGGTTCGAATCCTCACTTGTTAAAAAGGGTACCGGGGAGGGCTTTATTTGTCGCCCGGCCCGAATCCGGACTAGTCGATCGCTCGGGTACAACTGGCCCAAAGAGGCTGGGGCCCAGAAAAGGCGCGGTTGGATACCGGATGGTTTATATCAAAAAAAAGTAGAAGAGTACAGCTAAGGGCGGAACATGATTATATTATTACTATAATTAATTAATAAGTAATTCATTAATATAAAATTCGAAGGTCGTGTGCTGCGTGTGGCTCAAAAGAGAAAACCAAAGATGATGTGCATGCATCTTGTGAGCAGTCATATTGTTAAGCAAGCACGTACAGCTAACATCCCACACAATTAAACAAAGTTGTATGCTCATAAATAATTACATATATCATACATAAAGCAGTACAGGCCGAGGCTCCCAACTCCATTCCAGTTATAACGTTTGACAGTTTCAGTTTTGCTGGCCCACTGAATAAGACAGTCCAAAACTCACAGCATTCTTGTTCATTCTCTCTGCAATGAAACTCATCAGCTGCTGCTGCTTCTTCTTGTTGGTACTATGCGTTATTAATGTTTCAGCTTATGAATTGTCGTCTGGTTATTATGCATCCACATGTCCTGCTGCTCTCCTCACCATCAAAGCAGCGGTTTTGGGCGCTGTGCTGAAAGAGCCTCGCATGGGAGCTTCCTTGCTTCGTCTCCATTTCCACGACTGCTTCGTCCAAGTACGTAATTTCTTTAATCAAGTAGTGAAGGAGATTGATCAACAATCGTGTTTACTTACGTTTTTCTTTGTTGATAGGGGTGCGATGCGTCCATTTTGCTGGACGACACGGCGAATTTCACAGGTGAAAAAACCGCTTTTCCCAACGTGAATTCCCTGAGGGGTTACGAGGTTATAGACAACATCAAATCTGTTTTGGAGTTGATGTGTCCTGGCGTTGTCTCCTGTGCTGACATTGTCGCTGTTGCTGCCAGAGACTCTGTGGTTACAGTAAGTATATTTAACTGAGGAGTCATAAGCATATATAGCGATTGTTTTGTTTTGTTTTGTTTTTTTTTAACACATGATTAATTAACACTGCATATAAAATATAATGATCCCATACACATGTCAGCTGGGAGGACCATCGTGGGACGTGAAACTGGGGAGAAAAGACTCGACCACAGCAAGTTTAAGTGATGCTAATAGGGATTTGCCGGCTCCCTTTCTGGATCTCAATGGCCTCATCGCTGCTTTCTCCAAAAAGGGATTCACGGCCCAAGAAATGGTTGCTTTGTCAGGTAATATAACAGCCCTTTCTATACTTCTTTATTGCCTTTTATAAATATATTTCACCAACTTGAGATTACAAGAGGGGAGATTGAGACTAGCAGGGAGCTAGTGAGCTTCAGGCAATATAATGATGATTTCCCTTCACCCTAAGTCGTCTCTCCTCCTCACTCTTTTACTCTCATCGAAGTGCTGAAAAAAGTTCTATAAATAAACTTTTAATTATTAATTTGTGCCCTTCCTGACGAGTAATGTCGTTGCTTAATTTGTATATAAAGCACAAACAAGCATATTTTAAGTTTGGTATATTAATTAGCTTATATACATATATGGACTTGTTCCACTATTAGTTGGCATTAATGATAAGTGCAAAGAATCCAATTGACATGCACCACCAAATGCCGTCACTCATCAATTCTAATCTATTGATTTGATTCATATTGTTTCATAATAACTAGCAATGCATGTGTCTCTTTTTCTTCAAAGAAGAACAATCAAAAGCTACGGTTTTGTTGATTGTATGAAGCCATAATCATGCAAAAGCTAAGTAGAATCTTGATGAGTCTAAACCAATTAACCTTTCAACTTTCTAAAGCTGTGATCGATCTGAAGTAATGAAGCCATGCTTTGTTCACCTTTTACCCAGAACAATAGATTAGATACTCAAGAGGAACATGTGGGAAAGCTATGAGGCTGATGGATTAAATCAGGTGCCGTACAGTCGAGTAGTGACCACAGAGGATCTAGATCCCAAATAGAAGTGCCTGACTAAAGTGATTAATGAATGGTTAATTATTGGCTAATTGTACATATATAGATGCAGCAATCCCATTAATTAATTGGAACACTGATTTTCATGAATGGAAATGAATATTATTGTTCAGGATCGCACACAATAGGGGAAGCGAAGTGCGCAACTTTCAGGACGAGGGCTCACAACGACACCAACATAGAGCCGTCGTTTGCAACATCACTAAGAGACAGATGTCCAAGCACAGGTGACGATAGCAATTTGTCACATTTAGATGTCACCACTCCCAACTTTTTCGACAACTCTTACTTCAGGAATCTGGTGAACAAGAAGGGTCTCTTGCACTCAGACCAAGCACTCTTCGATGGAGGCTCCTCAGATTCCTTAGTCACAACTTACGTCTCCGAGCCTTGGCGTTTCAGAGCAGACTTTGCTGATGCCATGATTAAGATGAGTGAACTTAGCCCTCTAACTGGTTCCGATGGCCAGATCAGGAGAAATTGCCGCAAACTCAATTGACGACTTCAATTCTATATATCATTCTTACTTTCTCTCTATTTCTCTCCCTATCTCACTTGTCTTGATCACTAAGCCCGCTCTACTTTGCTGTTCTCTCATCTCTGTTGATGTTGGTCCTTTAGTTTAATTTAATTCGTTGGTTTTCTGGTTCCAAAAGAGATTTGATGTATTTATTTTTCGGAGAAATTGTGAATGGAATTTTAAGTCATTTATTATGAGTAAGGATGTGCTCTGCGGGATAAAAGCAATGAAGAGAATGATGTCGCGTCCAAATTAAACTAAAGAGACAAGAATTTTGGGAAGGAAGGAGGATGTAGTGAGATTTTGGAGATCGATTCTTCCGTGAGGACAAAATTGCTATTGTAAAAACCTAAAATGCTTGTGTGGTTTAACTTGCCTTCATCCAAATTAGCCAGGGCTAAACATGATTTTAAAAAATCAGATGATATTAAGAAAAAAAGGGGGCCGGCCAAAGAAGAAGAGGGTTGGCTCCTTCTGGCGGGTAATTAAGTTATTTATTTTCTGCAGCTTTTTTCTCTCCTAACGAGGTTAAGTCGTCTGTATATGTTGTTTAACGATGCATCTAATGGGTCAAATTCATTTAGAGCTCGGACTGACATAAAAGAAAAAGAAAAAGAAATTCGAAACACATAAATTTACAGAAGACTATTCTAGAGGCTGTAATGACTTTTAGATGATACATTGAAACAGGTTATTTGATTAAAAAGAGCAGTTGGTTTATGCGTTAGTTAACAGTGCCAAACCAATTTATGCTAAGTGGATGGTCAATCGTCATTATCGTGCGCTGGCCCAACAAGAACCCGACCCAATGCTTTTACTTTTCTTCTTATTGACCACGTCCCCAAGCAGAAGAAGTATAAGAGAGAAGAACGAATAAGAGGAAGAAAAATTGCTGGCAGAGATATTTAAGCTTTTTTGGGTTTCAACAACTCTTGTATATTCAAGTAATTTACTCTAAAAAAGTTATGGAAGAGGTCTGTCATTGTTGTTGACTAAGTTGTTGTTTATATATGCTTCATATATGTCGGCATCCAAAAGCTATATTTTTACGCAGAAGAGCGTCATGACAGATTCTAAAAAACTGCTTTTTGTAAACTTTGACTTTGCTTTCAAGAATTAAAAACTATCTAGCTACCTATTCTATATTATCAAGAGATGCTACGGACACAAGCACTTTATCACGGTATGTCCCATAATAAACGAGCAGGTAAAACTTCGAAGTAGACTAAATCAATATATGGAAAACAAAAAAAAAATTAAATCCAATGATGGCTGAATCATTCTTTACATGATTGCTTGCCAGAGTAAAATTGAGCGTTAGCAAGTTAAACAATATTTTGCTTACTATGCTCAGAAATGGTCGTTTGGACCTAGTCCCAGTCGTCGGTATTGGCAGGCTTTATATGATGCAGTTATGGTTTGCCCCGTTCCTCTGCTTCCTGCATTATATATAGAGCCTAATAATCAATTTGTTGCTCATACATTGGAAAATATAGAGTGTGGAAAATGGCCTCACATGGGTGTTTATCCATCGTCCTCTATTGCTTGGTGTTTTTAGGTGTTGCTAACACGGCTCTGTCATCACCTTCACTGTCTCCTGATTTCTACGACCACTCCTGTCCTGAGGCTTTGGAAGCCATCCAAAGAGTCGTTCGGGCCGCCGTCAACAACGAGCGTCGCATGGGCGCTTCTTTACTTCGCTTGCACTTCCATGATTGTTTCGTCAATGTATTGTACCTTTCTCATTCCTAGCTACCTATATGAAACTCAATTATATATGCATGTATATACTTTAGTTCCTGATATTTAAACCACACACGCACGTGCATGCGAGTGTATCATGATCTATGGAGTGGCGGTGTGATTGGATGAATATTTGATGATGAGCAGGGATGCGATGGATCGATTCTTCTAGATGATTCGGAAACCATAGACAGCGAGAAGAATGCAAATGCGAATTTGAATTCGGCAAGAGGGTTTGAAGTGATCGATGAGATCAAGATGGAGGTGGACAGAGTGTGTGGCGGCCCTGTTGTTTCTTGCGCTGACATTTTGGCGGTGGCAGCTCGAGACTCCGTCGTGGCAGTACGTATATCATCCTAATGATAACTAAATATAAATATGAATGATAATGAATTAGCTAGCCTCATTAGTTAACGAAATCAATAATATCTCAAATATATTGCAGTTAGGGGGCCCGTCATGGAGAGTGAGTGTTGGCAGAAGAGACTCCAAAACGGCAAGCCGAAGCGCAGCAGACGCAGACATCCCAGCACCATTTTTCAGCCTCTCGCAGCTCATCGACAACTTCAAGAAACAAGGCCTGAACGAGAAAGACCTTGTCGCTTTATCCGGCGGCCACACCATTGGTTTCGCACAGTGCCGCAACTTCAGAGACCGCATCTACAACGACAACTCTAACATCGACCCCTACTTTGCCCAAGACCTTCAAAGGGGCTGCCCTAGAGACGGAGGGGATGCCAACCTGGCTCCACTGGACCCCACCGCTGCTCGCTTTGACGAGGCTTACTTCGCCAATCTGCTTCACAAGAAAGGCCTTCTTCACTCTGATCAGCAGCTCTTCACCGGCGGTTCCACCGATGAATTCGTTAAGAAGTACAGCTATGATACTGAAGCTTTCCACCAGGACTTCGCCGATTCCATGATTAAGATGGGAAATATAAAGCCCCTCACTGGTGATCAAGGCGAAATTCGGGGCAACTGCAGGAAGGTTAACTATTATTAAAACTCCATATGCGTGTGCATGCCTTCAACATTAAAAATTATTTCAATATTGTGTATGACAGCCACGAGACTTTTCGTTAAGAAATTAAATAAAATATACATATACGAATGTATATTGGATTATGTTCCTTAACTAGTTTATGAAATATTGTAAAAGATGTGTAATATCTAATACTAAACAAGCTATATTTTAATCTTTTCACATATATAATACATACATAGATAGTATAGCTAACAACAGCCCCGTTTGTTACTTGAAACTAGTTTTGATGCTAGTAGAAGAGGAAGAGGCACGGAAGTGAAGCTTAAAAATGTGTTTGGCATGTGTGTTCATGAAAACATTGTATTATTTTTATAATATGAAAAGACTAATATTTTCTTATATTAAAAAGAAAAAAAACAGAGAGGGCGCTCTCACCGAAATTTTAGAACCGTAGGGGTCGTCCACCACATTATCCGATCACCATCATCTGTCGCAAGAATATAATTTATAAATCAAACCAAATAGAGCCAATCAATCTAGAAAATTGATTGACCTAGTCCAAAATCAACAATTAATCAATTGATTTCAAAAAAATCGAAAATCAAAAGAAGAAAACGACCAGAAAAAATTGCACACAACTACAAACATGAAATCAGACTAGCACCTACAGTCGAAGAGCACTAGCAAAATAGAGCGTTGGAAGGATAAGGAGAAAATATTGAACCTTCACCATGAACAATTGCCGTTTCATTGTCGTCGCCGTCGCCTCTCCATCATGAATGGTTGCCATCGCAGGAAGTGAAAATTAAAGGGTGGAGATTGGAGAAGCTCTTCGTTGCCCACAAAGAGAAATTAAGAACCAGATCGATCATGGCATCTCATTGCTCCTATTGCCATCATTAGCACTTATCAACCACATCAATATTGTCTTGCCATCCATGATCGTCAACTTCCATCAAATTAATGGAGTAGTTGGCTTTCCTTCGAAAATGGAAATGCAATGCCCAAAATGATTAAAATAATTAATGGGTTTCACATGCTCACTTCTGCTTTCATGTTCCCACTTCCTACGAGCATATACCATAGTATTTGATTGGAGTGACTTTTTTTTGGGATGGGGAAGAAACGGATTTCGCTCTCCTCTGATTTGCTTGATCACAAAATGGATTAGAGTATGCTTAATTAAACCATCCTTAGTAAAAATCGATCAAGTTTTATATTTTGAGTAAATTGATTAGTTTGGTTTGATTATTTATGTTTTGCCCTAAACATCTCAAACCATGTTTTAAAACATCCTTAAACATAATATTATTATTTTCTGAAAGTTTGTTTTCTTCCGGAAGAGGCTTTGAAATGCAATGAGATAGTGACAAGCTAGGAACGTGAATGAAATTGATGGAGACCGCGGTGCGGATGTAACATCAAGCATTAATTGCTCTATTATATTCCCCCACAGTATTCATCTACTCTTCAGAAAGATCATGGGGCTTCAAGGCTTAACACACGTACTTCATTACGGACATGATCGAAATCTTAATGAGAGGATAGATGGTAAATAATGTACGAAAAACAAATTAATGAAATAATATATGATACATATTCTTATTGTTGTAAATTAATTTTTTCAAAATCACACCGTACCGACCTAATAATGTCTTATAAACAATACTCTTATTTGGCCTTATTGTATATGTCGTATGGATGATGTTTTAAGAACATCTCACTCTTATTATTCATTGAATTAACATCGACGTCACATTAGATTCTCTATAAAAGGACAGAGATCAGACAGAGTGTGATGCAAGCAAATAACTAAATATATATGATGGTATGGAGTTTATATATTATCTTCATGTACTCAATTTTTCCTATACGTAATTGTATTAATACGTGTATATATATATATTAAAAAGAGTATGAAATGGGACAGCATAATTATGTTTGACAAATTAAAGAGATGTATTATTTGAGTCCATCGATCATTTATTCCATCCTTTCTAAAATATCTACACGCACAGAGTGATTTCCCTGGAAGCATATGAAACTCTGCATATGGGACCATCATATGCTTTGTTGTATATCTACATCATTTGATGAGCTGAGACTGTGAGACAGTAGGTAGGATGGTTAGTTAAGTGAGAATGTAATTGTGGCATCGAAAGGGGTAGCCCCTACATGCTCACATGACAAACATATGCGACAATCTCAGACACCACTGTCACTTCCGTTGCCGGCAAACTTACACGACAAATTTACATGAATCAAACCTCTTACACGTACGTACGTCCCTACGTTTCCTTCTGTTTCAGCAATCTCAGTCTTCTTTTCCTCTTCTTTTAATTTGCTCGACTCCATAAAATGCCTTGTTAAACATACACACACACACGTTCATTCACAAGGGAATATTGGGTAGACATCTCATATGTGTCATCAATGCACGTCAAAATTGAACACAATTATCTTCATCTCAAAACTAAAGTACAGTCAACAAGCTAAGTAGATTGCAATTCACAACTCAGCTAATTACTATCGATCTTGCTAACTTACTCACGGTACAAGTAGGATATCCAGACCCAAAGGATTTAATTAGTGCACATGTCTAGCTTGGAACAACAAACGAAAAGGAGAAGACCAAGAAATTTTCTCCCCTGTGAGAGCGACCATTCTCTCCCTAGTGAGAGCGACCATTCTCCTTTTGCGAGCTCAAAAACTAGTCCGCTTCAAGCCTAAAACCCCTTTTCTTGTTCCGTTTGTTAATTCAGTACTGTTCGTCTTCAGAATCATGGAAGTTGTAATGGATGATCCCAATGATTGTGCCCTTGACTGGGAAGATGAGGAATCGAAGACGGGGGGCTTTGCTTTAGTAGGGAAATTGGTTTCGCCTCGCCCAATCAATCGAACTACATTTCGCAAAGCTCTTGATCGTAGCTGGAATGTGAAAGGTAAGCTGGAAATTCAATTTCTGGATGATAATGTCTATACGTTCTATTTTGTTCTGAAACAAGAATATGAAAGAGTCATTCGGGATGGGCCGTGGGCGGTGGATGGATATTTGCTTAACTTACGCCCATGGTCGCCGCTCTTAACAGTGAAGGAGGTTCTCTCGAGTAAGTGTATTTACTGGGTTCAGATCCATAATCTCCCACCGCGAGTGATGACTAAGAAGAATATTTTGAAGATTGGCAATGCGATAGGAGAGGTCCTGTGTTTTGAAGACCCAAAAATGGATGAATTGTTCTTCCGAAATTTTGTTCGAGTTCGAGTGGAGATTGATCTCACTAAGCCATTGATAGCAGGATTATGGGTTCCCCGACCCGATTTGGATAAGATATGGATTCAGTTTAGGTGTGAAAAGTTGCAGAGTTTTTGCTATAATTGTGGAAGGGTGGGTCACGATCATCGTAGTTGCGAAAGGGAGAAAACAATGTCGGAAGAAGACCCTTCAAAACCAATGTTCACAGCAGATATGAGAGCTAATCCGGTCAAAGCCATGTCGGCGATAGTGATGATTCGTGAAGATGACTCTATTTCTGTGCAGATGGCGCCGGCGCGTGAATCATCCTCATCCCACAAGAGCGTGGATGAGTCCTTCTCTCGTGTGGGCCAGGGAATCAGAGTGACGGTTACAGAAGGTGTGAAAGGAAAGGAAACATGTCAAAATGGTGCAAAGGAGGGCAAGGGTAGCGTGAACTACTCTGAGGGTCCCTCTGCTAATGGCACCATACATACAGTAGATGGATTAGATTGCATCATGGAGGATGATGAGGTCTCCAGCCCAATTAAAGACCATGGTGGGCCGAAGACTGATATGAATATTCAAACTAGCCCAATCATGAATAGGAAGGATATGGACCGACCTGTTCAGAATCTGAACATGGAAGAGAGTCGTATCTTCCTTAGAAGAACGGGTCCAAATAAAGGTAATTGCAAGAAAGCCCTGTTCCAGTCAGCTCCCCAAAAACTGTTTATGAACATAGGACCCTTACATAGTCGAACTACCTGATGATAGTGATGAGAGTAAGAGTCATAGCTCTCAAGAATCAAAGCGTGTCTTGCCACAACTGACTTACGAAGGGGTGCTAGTTCAGAAATTTGAGAGGGTTAATTTGAAAAGAGGATTAGAAGAAACTGAAGAAGAACAAGTTGCGAAACGCCAAAAGGTGGATACGGTGGAAGATGTGTCAATAAATCTGGATAAAGAAAATCAACTAGCTTTCTCAGAGGGAAAAATTACAGAGAATGCTAGGAAGAAGAAAAAAAGAGCTTCGAAGTCTAATGGAAAGGAAGGTGAATCAGGCTTGTTTGAAGTTCCAATTCTGGAAGGTAATTCGATTCCTAGAAAGGTGCTTTCTGAAAATTCTGAAAATTTCTCTTATGTCTTTGCTGCTCAGGGGCTTGGTGGCCAGCCACAAATGGCCACCGGGTCATCATGAATCTACTAAGTTGGAACTGTCAAGGGTTGGGGTCCCCCTTGACAGGCAGAAATCTAAGATTTCTGTGTGATAAATATAAACCCCCTCTGGTTTTTCTAATGGAAACCAGAGTTCAAATGGTCAAAGTTGAACGATGGAGAAGGCGATTGCAATTTCAGAATAAGTTTTATGTGGAACCTGCTGGCATTGGGGGTGGACTAGCTGTTTGGTGGAAAGATTCGGTACAGCTAAAAGTCTTGATGGCTGACAAAAAGCTGATTCATATTAAAATTAATTCAGGTTTAGATCCAGTTACAGGATTTATGACTTTGGTATATGGCCCACCTAAGGAAAGGTTACGTAGTGCATGGTGGAGGAGACTGAAGGGGTTAAACCCTGGACAGGATACCCCTTGGATCTGTTTTGGGGATTTTAATGAGCTTCTATATGACTTTGAAAAAGAGGGAGGTAGAACACGATCTTGCATTCTTTTGAAGACTTCCAGTCTTTCGTGACCACTTGTATTTAATGGATCTGGGATACAAAGGCATGCAATTTACTTGGTCCAATAACCGTTAGAGGAGAACAATGTTCGAGAAAGAATTGACAGAGCAGTTTGCAATGGCCCTTGGCATGATGCTTGTCCAAATGTTCAGGTATGCAATCTGGAACCTTTAGGTTCTGATCACTCTCCCCTTTTGATTTCTTCCCATTACTT